GCGAGATCGACTGAGAGATCGATAGTGAGTCAGTGAGTCGGCGTTGGACTGGAGCCGGAGCCGGAGCTGGAGTCATCGTCGTCCTCGTCGTCGTCGGAGTCGGGGTCGGAGTCGGAGTCGGACTCGTCGGAGCTGGAGTCGTCGGGAATGTCGATGGAGTCGGAGTCGGAGCCAGAGTTGGGGCCGGAGTCGTCGTCGTCGTCGGAGTCGGAGTCATTGTTGTCGTCGTCGTCGTCTTCGTCGTCGACATCGTCATCGCCGTTGTCGTCAAAGTCGTCGTCGGAGTCGGAGTCGGAGTCGAAATCGGAGTCGTCGGGGGGTTCGGAATCTTCGTCGTCGGAGTCGGAGTCGGAGCTGGCCAGAGCCGGAGCTGGAGCTGGACCTGGAGTCGGAGTCGGGGTCGGAGTCGGAGTCATTGTCGTCGGTGTCGGAGTCGTCGCAGTCGTCGGAGTCGGAGTCGTCAGAGTCGTCGTCGTCGGAGTCGGAGTCGTCGACGGAGTTGTCGAAGTTGTCGGAGTCGTCATCGTCGTCGTCTTCGTCGTCTTCATCGTCGTCGTAGTTGTCTTAGTCGTCGTTGTCGGAGTCGTCTCAGTCGTCTCAGTTGTCGTATTCGTTGTTGTCGTCGCCGTCGTCGTCGTCGTGATCGTCGTCGTCTTCGTCGTTGGATGCGTCTCCTCAGCGCCTGACGGGCAGCTGCATGCTGAAAATCACCATCACCACCATCATCACCATCATCACCATCATCACTACCATCATCACCGTCATCACCACCACCACCACCACCACCACCACCTTCACAATCACCATCATCATCATCACCATCATCAGCGTAAGCATCAGCATCATCCTCATCATCATCCTCATCATCATCCGCATCATCATCAGTAGCATCATCATCATCATCATCATCATCACCATCATCATCATCATCTTCATCATCATCATCATCATCATCATCACCGTCATCGTCGTCGTCATCACCATCATAACGACGAAGACTGCGAAAATAAAGCACTGCGAACCTGCATGTATGGAGCTTTCGAAAGCACTCCGAACCTGCATTCGTGCTCCGAACCTGCATGCATGCAGGTTCGACTCAGTTCGAGTAAGTTTCAACTTAGTTCAACTGGCTCGTCATATATCGTACGGGCTTTCACCTCGCAGCTCAGATTTCAGGCTTCTGGCTCGGGCCCGCCGACATCTGACATACATTATCATTCGAATTTCAAATGTTGGTGAAATGATCAAGCCATCCTGGATGTATGCACGCATGTGTCATACTGTCCCAGGCCAGCACCGAGGGCATTGCAGCGCGTGGCGGCACCAACTTGTACTGCTGCGGATCCCAATTTAAGTTGGCACTCGTTTTCCGCCTCCTGCCGCCCATCCTTGCTTCTATCCTGCTCGCTGCTCGGACCTGGCCAGCGCGGGCGCTGCGCGCTCTGAGGCTATCTCTCTTTCTCTCAGAAGCAGTTGCAACTACAACGAAGGTGGCTGGGTGAAATCACCTCTTGGGGCGGCGTCCGCCAGCGCCCTGGCGACGGAGATGGCGCCACTGATGCTGATCAGAGTGCGCCGCCTCGCCCGCCCAGGCGTCGGTATGATGCCACGGTCCTTCCGCCTTTGCGCTGCCAGGACCGCCAGCTCGTCCGGGAGACCATCAAGCCGATCGTCGATGCGACCCCAAGTTTCGACGGCACATGGCAGTACACCGCACTCACATCTATACCCCTGGGTGGGTGTATGTGCGGCCGTTTTTGCGCTGTCATGTGCGCGCATGTGCGCGGCATGTGCCAGTCATGTGCCAGGCCTGTGCGGTCCTTCTTGGATGGACTTCCTACTGTGCACGTCGTGCCCGGGCATGTGCGGGGGCGTGTGCGCTGTGTTTTGATGTATCCATCATACGCACATGCACGCACAGCCCGACGCACATGCGCGCACATGCATGCACATGCGGGAGGTGTTCGAGAATCGTAGATCTGTCATCGGCACATGCACGCACATGCCTGTGCAACCTCTCTTCGGGAGGCCGCGCGGGCCCGCACATGCACGCACATGCGGTGAAGCGCGCGGGCGCACATGCGTGCACATCCCAATGCACATGCACGCTCATGCCCTAGGAGCTGTCTGGGACCCCTGTGCCTCCAATGCCTCCTGGCCTTCGCAGAGCTAACCTGGGGCGTGCCAGGGTTTCCTGAAAGAGTTTGTTGTGCGTTTAGACTCGCCCGCTGCTGGCGGGGGCGGTTATTCGCCCGGTTCGTGAGCTGGCGGTGGCGCGCCCGCCTAATAAAATATTCTCCCGCTCGCCTTCTCAGCTCGGCCGGAGAAGCAGGGATGGGGGGGGGGGAGGTGGAGGGGGGGGGGAGGAGGGGGGGGCGGAGGAGGCGGGCGCCCCCGGCCACTGGCCAGCCTGCCTGTTCGGCTCGGCCAGAGGAGAAGGAGGAGAGGAGGAGGAGGAGGAGGAGGAAGAGGAGGAGGAGGTGAGAGTTGCGAGGCTGTCTCAGGCGAAAGTGGCTTGACGGCCCGAGCTCAGGGAATCTCGGAATCGCTGGCCTGGCTCGGCCACCGGCGAGCTCGGCCTGTGCGAATACTGTGCGTACCTGTGCAGTGCATGTGCGGGACGTGCAAGAATGCCGGGGCCGGCGTTCGTCTCCGGACGCCGGCGCGTTCGCGTCCGGCCAGTTCCGCGTGAGACGTCGTCGGCAATTTGGAGGCCGACGTGCTTTGACATGAAGTGATCTGGCCACCTTCGCCTGAGACATCCTCGCAACTCTGGTCTCGGAGATGCCCTGCCCCATGGTGGCCCGGCCACTTTCGCTTGAGACATCCTCGGGACTCTGGGTTTCGAGACGCCCTGAGCTGAGGTGGTTAGACCACTTTCGCATGAGACATCCTCGCAACTCTGACCTCAGAGATCTCCTGCCCCATGCTGGTCAGGCCACGGTCGCCTGAGACATCCTCGCAAGTCTCGATTCCGATATGCCCCGAGCTGAGGTGGTCAGCCACTGTCGCCTGAGACATCCTCGCAACCCTGATCTCAATGATGCCCTGCTCGATAGTGTCTCGGCCCCTTTCGCCTGAGACATCCTCGGAACTCTGGGTTCCGAGACGCCCTGAGTTGAGGTGGTTAGACCACTTTCGCTTTAGACATCCTCGCCCGAGATGCCCTGAGTTGAGCTGTTCAGGCCACTTTTGCCTGAGACATCCTCGCAACTCTGACCTCAATGATGCCCTGCTCCATAGTGTCTCGGCCTTTTTCGCCTGAGACCCTCGCAACTCTGGGTTCTGAGATGCCCTGAGCAGGTGGTCAGGCCAGTCCTGCCTGAGACATCCTCGCAACTCTGGGCTCCGAGATGCCCTGGGCTGAGGTGGTCAGACCACTCTCCCCAGAGACATCCTCGCAACTCTGACCTCAGAGATCTCCTGCCCCATGGTGGTCAGGCCACTTTCGCTTGAGACATCCTCACAACTCAGACCTCGGAGGTGTCCTGCCCCATGGTCGTCTGGTCACCTTGACCAGCGACATCCTCGCCACTCTGGTTTCCAAGATGCCCTGCCCCATGGTGATCCGGCCACGCTTGCCTGAGACATCCTCGGAACTCTGGGTTGCGAAATGCCCCGAGCTCAGGTGGTCAGGCCACTATCGCCTGCGACATCTCTGCGGCATGTGCGGGCATGTGCGTCTATGATTTCAGAGTTTTGCTTGACCGTGCATTCGACTGTGCGTCGGACGGTGTGGCATGTGCGCGCATGTGCGGCAATGCTGTTGAGGCTTTTGTATATTTACATGGGCATGTGCATGCGACTGTGCGGCATGTGCCTGCATGTGCGGCCCCTTCCGGACCACAATTTCAAAGTGAGCACTATAGAAGTGAGCGCTATAGAAGTGAGTCCGGTGTACAGATCTGCCGGCAGATGGCTTATAGCGCTCCTCCTTGCACTTCGCGCCCTCCTTTGCCGCCTCGCCTTGGAGTAGCGGCAGCAGCATGCAAGATTTCCTTCGCGGCGGGGTGCTGGACAGTGCCGGCCAGTAATCGATCTGGCGCAGTGGCATGGCCGAACAGCTCGACGTCCAACGCGGCCTCAACCCAGATCTCGCTGCCACCCCGGCGGGACTTCTTGAAGCCAAGCTATGTGATACTTTGTTCGAGCAAGACCGCGTGGTCGGCATCGCGCCCAGCCTGCGCCAAGACGCGGTTCAAAGCGCTGTGCCGGATCGACGTGTGCGGGCCGACGTTGCAGCACACGGCATGGTCGTTGCATGCATCCAGGGTCTCACCACAGTGCACACGGGTCTTTGGACTGGGCGCGGGCGCATTGCAGACCAGACGGATACACCAGGAGACCGAGCCTGATTTTCAGGGCCATCGTGAATCTTCAAGCAGTGGCGAAGCATCCTAGCTCGCCTATCGGCCGACCAAAGAATGTTCTAATAACCTTCTGTGGTCTGAGCGAAATGTTCCCAGAACGCTTCTGGTTGGGACTATTTTGTTTTAGCACATAGGGCTTATCGTTTAAGAAAACCGTTTATGCTCTTAGAACATGTTTGGGTTCTAAGAAGACCTCATGGTAGGCTGATAGGAATGCCGGGACGGTCGGTCCGACACGCGAGCCAAATTCCGTTTCGAAGAGGCAAGGTTGTTACGAAGGGCTTGCTCCGTGAAGGAGTCCAAGGCGTCCAGCAGCGGAATGTGAATCTTCCGGGTCTGACACCACAACAGCGCAGTTGGTGCCAACTGCGAGGAGGGGGGGGGCTCCCGCGATGACTTCCCTGTCGTGGCGGACGTGCACGGAATGGCGCTCCAGGGCGGACAAACAGTGGCCGACGCTAGGTAAGTCAACCGCGCCCCCGATGCTGTTCTGATCGAGCCCCAAGGCGACGAGCCTCTGCGCGACGGCAGGTAGATACTGGGAACGGCAGCGAGATGGACAAACAAGCCCTCAGAACCAGCGCTGGTGAGGTCGCAACCTCCACGCCGTGCCGACAGCGTCAAGCAACCTTACTGCTGGGCCGTGAAGCGGGTAGTACGCGCATCCCGACAGGACGTGGCCAACACAACTCGATCTGGTCGCTCCGCGAGGGTGGAGAAGGACTCCGGGTGAAGAATGCGGGCGTCGTAGTCCAGAGCCGTGTTCAGAACCTTGTCGAGGAGGGTCCACACGGTGCGGTGGACGGGCTGCGCGAGGGGCGTGCGCAGCATGGTGTGGAACGCCGCGGCTAGCTCTTCGGCCTGCCTCAGCCGCTTTGTGGACGCTGCAGGAACCGGGGGGAGCTTATGGAGGCCGCGTGCGGCCCATCCAGACCGCCGCCCATCAACTCCAGATTGTCGAAGACCTGGGAGAGGCCCATGCGCCGGAGGACGGGGTGCAGGACGCCATGGCCAGCCGAAGGTATCCAGACCTTCGATTTGGAGAGGTTGAGGCGCAACTTCGCCGTGGCAGGGGCGTCCGTGAGTAGAGGCAGCCATGCGTGAGCTAGGTTCGGATCGATGTTCGCGAGCATGTCGTCCATACGCTCGAAGTGTACACGAGGGCTCATTGAGGCGCATTCTGCAAGCGAATACCGGCAAGAAAACATTCGCAATGCACGCCAAAGCCCCAGACAGAACAACAGTGAAGAACGCGTGTGACCTTGAAACAGACCATATAGCATCGTAAACCGTCCCCACGATGATGATCCAGAGGAAACGTAACTAGGCGTACCAGCCGTGCCCCAAAAAATGTTCGCCATCCCGGGCAATTCTGCGAGGACCTCCTCCATTATCTCCGCCCGCGAGATCTCTCCAACGGCGTTGATGAAGTCAAAGGCGCAGAAAGCATCGCCAGGGCACAGACGAGATAGCGCCTTGCCCAAAGCCAGCAGAGTCTCGGGAGCCGCCTTGACTCCAATGCCGAGCTGGGTGTCCGAAAGGAGGTTGGCCGCCTTGCTCTGGAAGATTTCCTGCAAGCACGCCCCTGGAAGGGAGAGCAAAGCTTCTCCGATGATGATGGGCCGGACGTCGTCGCCAGCAGGCCTTTTTCGCAACGAGATGCCGAGAGCTGCGCGCCATGGCGTCGCCATGACCTCTGGCACGGAAGCAGAGACCCACGCTTGGACCCAGCCGGTGAGAGCAGCGAGGCCACCGTCAGTGGCGGCGATGTTCTTGAGGCGCGAATTCCCCCATGAGCTCGTGCCAGCGGCCTTGCAGTCAGCAGTTTTGGTGACCACCGCGTTGACAACCGTGGCTGCCACGGGGGGCGCGCAGCGGGCAGCGCGCTGCCTGAGGTCCGCGCGGGACCGCAGGGAATCTCGAACAGGGCCCGTGATGAATTTGGCACGCGCGAGGCCCACGGACTCGGCAGCAGCTGCATGAATCCCGCTGCTGGCCAAGATGCGCCGCCCAGTCCTTACGTCGCCGTGCAGCACCTTAAAGATGCATGCTCCGAACTGTCATCGCTGGAGCTCCTCAGCGTCATCGGTGGCGGCCGTAGCCCGCCGCTTCGCTGCGCGAGCCGCCGCCAGGTCGGCGTCGGTGAGTGCGCCCCGGACTGCCTCGTGCCGGGAGCCCTGCTCAATAAGCTGGAGCCGAGCTTTGACCAGCGGCGTGACCTGCGATGCGCCTGGCTTCCTGGTGTTGCCCAGCGCCGTGTCGTCCACATGCTGCTCGATGTCTCGGGTAGCCAATGAGCCGGGATGACGCAGGAACCAAGAGGCACGCTCCGCCCGTACCGAATCCACCTCCGGACGACGCACTGCCATCAGGAACCATCCCAGGGCCGTGGTAGACACCTTGCCGAACCTGTGAACCAAGCCCTTCGGAATGAAGAGGTGCGTCGACATCGGCGCGACTTCCGGAAGCCCGCTTGTTTTATTGTTGCCCCTCTTTAAACTTCACATTATGTCTCCATCGTTCTCTCTCTCTCTCTCTCTCCCTCTCTGCATGTATCCCCAAGACGGTTCAAGAGGCCCCCCAAAGGCCCGAAACATTTGTCCAAGAGGCTTCCGAGAGGCCAGGCGTGGGTGCGGGCTGGCACCTCGCAGCCGCTTGTTCCAGGATCCGAGAACCAGCGACTGCAAACACAGGAGTTTGCTTGTTCGGCGGCGAGCTCGGGTGGAAACTGAAGGGCCGGGCGTTCTTGGAGACCTCGGATGGCCTCGGGCCTTCCGAGAAGTTCCCCAATCCTTCCTCGAGGATGGACAGCTTCTCAGAAGGCGCGAGGGCTTCTGAGAGGCCCCGGTGCCCTCTTGGAAAAGGCCTTCTCCTCCTCCTCGTTACCCCCCCCGACGCGCGCGGCCGATCTGGTTTCGACGCGCGCCGAGGGAGGTGCGCTGACCACGGTAGGGCGTTTTCCTTAAGTCGGGCACGTCTTTGTCTTCAGGACGAATGTTCAGACATTGCTCTAAAATCGTATGGGGGCGATTGTTTGATTGTTGCTTGACCATTGTTGATCATGTTTGGGCCATGTGTTGTTGTTTGACATGCCCGGCCTAACGTTTGCCCCGACCGAGACCACTTCCGCGAGCCTTCGCCGCTTTTGTGTGAACTCCTGTCGGAGCGAGGTGCCTCTGCTGTGGCATGGAGTCTCGCCATTGCCCCGTTTCTTTTTTTGCATCGGCGGCGCGATTCTCGAAGTTCGGGTTCCCGTGCCGCCACGGCCACGCGCTGGTGTGCCAGTACAGATTCACGATTAAGTCCCGCACCTTGCGGGGTGGATGCCCGCTCGGGCCGAGAATCTGCGGGGGAGGGCGGCAAAACGCCTTGTCCGAGCCCAGAAGACGTCCGAACGCTGGGCACGAGGAGGAGGAGGAGGAGGAGGGGGGAAGATCGGAAGGATCGAGGTGCCCTGTTCAAGGGTGCTGTAGCGGATTCCGACGACCCAGGACAGGAGAGTGGATCTATTACATATCAGGAACGGCGGCGGGATGGGCCGAAACCGAGCTTGGTTTGTGTCGTAAGCCTTCCCACGTTCTTTCTTGCCCTCCTCCAGTTGGCCTTGCCGGCTCCAGCTGTTTTGGCTTTGTTAACTACCTCACGCCTCCTCCATTTCTTATCCAAGCTCCACGTCCTCGCCCCGTTTTATCACACTTTGTTTTCCGAATGGTTCCATTGGGCCGTCCCGTAGGTTGTGCAGCCTCACTTGGGACGATTGGCGGCGACAATCACATTCCCGGAAAGCCTGCCAGGAGCATGATTGTCGCCGCCAGTCGAAAGAGGAAAGCGAGGGCGAGGAGGGGGAAAGGAACGCGGAAGCACAGCGCGCAGGTGAGTATGACGCGAAGGAGGAAGAGGAGGGGGAGGAGGGGGAGGAGGAGGAGGAGGAGGAGGAGGAGCAGGAAGGAGGAGGATGAGGAGGACAAGGAGGAGGCGACCAAACAGCGAGAAACGTATGAAAAGGAAGGAGGGATAATCCCTACTCGTTCATTGATCCATCCCTCTCTCCATTTCCCGTCCTTTCCCTTTCTGCCCATCTTGCCTGTCTGCTTCCGTTCTTCCCTACCTGCCTCCCTCCCTCCCCTTTCCTTCTCTTCCCCCTTCCCCTTTCCCCGACCACGACGACGACGGCGACGACGCCGACTGCGACGTCGACGCCGGGATTGCGCTTGCCTGCCATGAGAGTGGATCAGGATATGATTCATGAGGATAAGGATGATGTCTTCGGAGTTGATTAGAACCTAAGCGCGCGCGTAACGCGCGCGTGGTTAACGTGGCATGGGAGGACCGGGGCCTCCGAGACCGCTCCCAGAGCACCCCGGAGGGGCCGTGGAGCCCCCAGACTGCCCCAGAGAGCTCCAAGACGCTGCCAAAAGCTCCCGGGGACTTCGACAGGCCCCTCCAAGACAGCCCAGATAACCCCACCGTGGCCCAAGATGGGCTCCAGACCGCAAATGCACAGCCCAAGAGGCCTCTTCAAGAGAGCTCCGAGAAACATCCCGAGAGAGCCCGATGAGGCCCTAATCATTGATTTTTGTTTTTGTAATATCGACCTTCCGATGCTCCAAGACGGCCGACGACGCCCCCAAGGTCGCCCCAAGACCGCCGAAAAGGCTGCCCAAAAAGCTCGAGACGGCACCAGGGAGCCCGAAAATTGCCCAGGAGGAGCCCCAGACAGCCCGAGAGGCCCCAGGACAGGCCCAAGCTGAGCCACAGAGCGCGAGCACAGAGCGCGAGCGTGAGGCGCCAAGGCGCTCCAAGCCGGCCCAGATGGCCACAACGCGGCCCCAGATGAGCCCAACACGGCCAATACATACAGCCCACGAGGCCTCCAAGAGGCTTCAAGAGAGCTCCGAGAGGCGTCCCGGGAAAGCCCGACGAGGCCCACATCCTTGATGTCCGGTGTTTTTCTTTCAATGTTCGCTTTCTCGCGTTCTCGAGCTTCCAACGCTCGAAGACGGCCGAAGACGCCCCGAAGATCGCCCCCAAACCGGCGAAAAGGCCCCCAAAAAACCCAAGACGGCCCCGGAGAGCCCGAAGACTGCCCAAGAGCAGCCCGAGATTGCCCCAAGAGAATCCCAAGAAAGGCCCAAAATGGGCCCCAGCGGGAGCGGGAGGCCCCAAGGCGCTCCAGGACGGCCCAGATGATCCCAATGTGGCCCAAGAGGAGCTCAATACGGCAAACACAGCCCAAGAGGCCTCCAAGAGGCCCACGAGAGCTCCGAGAGACGTCCCGAGAGAGCCCGAAGAGGCCCAAAACATTGATTTGATTTGTTTTTTGATGATTCGTTTCGCTTTCTCACGTTTTCGCCCTTCCGACGCTCCAAGACGGCCGACGACGCCCCCAAGACCGCCCCAAGACCGCCGAAGAGACCCAAACAGAAAACCCAAGACGGCTCCAGAGAGCCCGAGAATTACCCGGGAGGAGCCCCAGACGGCCCAAGAGACCCCAGGACAGGCCCGAGAGGGGCCACGGAGCGGGCGCGGGAGGCCCCGGGGCGGCCGAAGACGGCCCAGGTGGCCCGGGCCTCCCCCGTCCGTGCTTCCTTCCCGCCCCCCCCTTGCCTCCATTCCCTCCTCTCTCTCTCTCTCTCCTGTTCCTCCCCTCGCCCCTCAGGTTTCTTGCTTCTCCCTCGCCTCCTGGGACTCCCTGGGACGACCCCGCCGAAGCACCAGACAGGCCCCGCCAGAACGAGTGGGGCATCGCTATACCCCATCATTTCACAAGTTGCTTTGCCCCTTTCCACCTCTCAAGGGCGGCCCTGGCAGAGCGAGAGGGGTGTTGCTATACCACATGCAAGCCCTGTTCTGTCTTGCTCCTCCCACCGCACCCGAGGTAGCCCCGGCACACGGGGTGTGGCTATACCCTAACTTTCCTTAGTGTTCGTGCTCCTCCCTCCCCCTCCCCTCCTGGGCAAGCCGCGCCTGAGCGCCACGGAAACCCCCGCCTGAGAGAGTAGGGCCCCCCTACCCCATATCACTTCACAAGATCATTGCTCCTCCCACCCTTGCAGGGCGGACCCGCCCGAGCGAGCGGGGCGTGGCTATACTATACAAGTTCTCTATTTTTCGAGTCCGTCCTTGACTTCCTGATAGGCCTCGCAAGAGAACCAAGAAGGTACCGCCAGATGCCCCATCAGAGCTCCAGGCAACCCCATACATGGGACTTGCCAGGCAAATCATTGAGCATCCCCCGTGAGTCCGAAACTTCTGATCCCACGGGTGCGAGTATCGCCGGCATGCAGTTTGGCGTCCAACACAAAGAAGTTTCTCTACTCCCGTGGACGGATTCGACAACAACCGATTGCAGAGAAAGGCGGCGATGGCCGGGAGATTTGCGCGCGCCCTCTGCAGATGCCAGACAGCTGAGCGACCGCTGAAAACGAGAAGCCTGGAACACAAGGAAGAGGAAAAACAACAAATCGCTCCCATGCGCGCTCGACGAGGCCCCGAACCAACCCTAACATCAAGAGCTGGCGGACGTTTGCGTGATCGGGCATGGGAAGACCAAGCATCTGCGCAAAAAAACACTGAGTGTCACGACGGGGCAGAGCGGAAGTGACCGTGGAGAAGCATCCCAGCCCCATAAGCCAGACAAAAGCGGCAACGAGATTGTGAGATGCGCGGGAACGTGGCGCCCCGCGTTCTGACTACGCGTTTCTTTGCGTCGATGGCATGGGCTGCGCCCGAGAACGCTGGAAATCGTCATTGTGGCCGCAGCGGGGCTTACAGCGGCACCCGTGGTTCATCTGCGATTAGAATGAAAGCGCGCGCGTGGTGCGCGTGTTTTTTATTTCTCCTCTCTCTCTCTCTCTCTTTTTCTGTCTCTCTCTCTATGTATGTATGTATGTATATATGGATGGAGGGGGTCCCGGGCCCACCAAAGTTCACTGATTTATCTTGCGGCCGTTTCGGGCCAGGCGGGGGGCGCCACAAATCGTCAAGTGGGGGCCCAGGGATGGCCAATAGGGCGCCAAGATGGCCCAAGAACGCTCCAACAGAGCCCAAGACCGCACAAGAACGTTCCAAACTTTGTACAACACGGCTTGAAGACAGCCCAGGAGGGCTTCAAGACGGCCAAGGTGCTTCCAAAAGGACCCCCACGAGGCACGCAGGAGGCGAACGAATTGTCTCTTTTCAGTGGTTTTTGTTTATTTTTCGTGTTATCGTTGTTTCGTACTTTCGACGGTCCAAAACAGTTCGCGAGGCCCCAGAAATCAGCTCAACACGGCCCAAGAGGCACCCAAAGAGGGTGCAACGACGGCGCAAGAGAACCCCGAGACGGCCCAAGAGCGCCCCAAGACGGCCCAAGAGGCGCCCAAGATCGCCCAAGAGGGCTCTAAGACGGCTCCAAGAGGGGCCCAAGAGGGGGAGTTTGAATTGGCAATTCGATCTTTCTGCCCCAAGA